GCAGCCTTCTCTTCTCCAGGCTGAACAAGCCCAGCTCCCTCAGCCTCTCCTCGTAGGAGAGATGCTCCAGTCCCCTCCTCATCCTCGTAGTCCTCCTCTGGACTCTCTCCAGTAGCTCCTCATCTTTCCTGAAGTGGGGAGCCCAGAACTGGACACAGGACTCCAGATGGGGCCTCACTAGGGCAGAGTAGAGGGGCAGGAGAACCTCCCTCGCCCTGCTGCACACACTCCTCCTAATGCACCCCAGGATCCCATTGGCCTTCTTGGCACCCAGGGCACACTGCTGGCTCATGGTCACCCTGTCGTCCCCCAGCACTCCCAGGTCCCTCTCTGCAGAGCTGCTCTCCAGCAGGTCAGCCCCAAGCCTGTACTGGTGCATGTCAGGTTTATCCGTTAAGTTTTTAGCCAAGTGGAAAATCTCGGGAGACTCCCAGCTCGTTTTAGTAACGGTTTGGTGATGGTGGCAGCGCAAGCGTGTCCCAGCGTGCTGGAGAACGCTCAGTGTTGCAGGGAAGTTCTAATGATGATAAACCAGGTTAATTGACAGTGCTAGGAAGGTCTGCACTCGGAGCTCGCCGCCCGACGCGTCCCGTTGGGGCACGGGTACACCGCGCACGAGAAGACGATGCGTTGCTGCGCTGCGTTGCACGGTTTGAGGCGCTGGTAGCAGTCCCGGTTGCTGGGTCGGTGCCCTGAGCAGCAGGTTTCGCTGCCTCCGAGCCCGTGCGCCACGGGAGGTGTTCTTGCCAGGGATCCCTCGCTAGCGGAGGGGAAAATGGTGAAAGCCACCCTGGAACGGGCGGTCTGAAGCTTCCGAGGAGAATGTCTCCCACCCAAGGACTGCAATGACTTCTCCATCCAGCGACAGAGGAGCAGGCAGACATACCCCTCCCGTGCTTGCCTTTGGGAATGTATTCTGCTTTTTTGGGCTCTCAAATCCGGGTGTAAACGCTTTCCTGCAGCAGGAGCCTGGATGGGGTGGGGAGAGGTGCCTTTACCCCAAGGCTGCATGACCTTATCTACAAGGTTTCATCTGTTTTACCATGTTCTGGGTTTGCTGCCTGGCAAGACCTGGAGATTTGGGTAGGACTTTACCTGGTACGGTGCAGTCACTTTGTGAAGTGTCGAGGAACGCTGAGCCGCCGAAGTAATTTTTATGTTCAGACCTCAGGTTCCTGAGGGTCCAGTTCATTTCTGCTGTGAATTTAAATGAGTTAATTTAAGCAGTGGGTCAGAAGCCACTACCATCGTAGTAGCCCCGTGCCTGATTCTTAATTAAAGGCAACAGGAGATTAATTTGAAACATTAATTTAAAAGTGCCTATACAAAAGGAAAGAATTATTGCAATAAAGCCTAAAGAACTTTTTTGTCCCTAGATGTAGAAGACAGAACTAGCTCAGGGTCCTGGGGGAATACAGGACATCCTAGTCCATCCAGGGTAAGTATATCTAATCTTTTTCCCCAAACCAGACTTCCTGCATATGTAAATTTACAATCTTAAATATGAGTTTTACACCTGATTGCCTAGAAAAATGGGCATGCAAAGTTGGCTGTAGCCTGTCTTCTCTTTAAAATTGCCTTTTTTGATTTCTTTTCGAACATTTAAACCTGATCCTGTGATTGAGTTTGGCACCTGCTCCGCTAGTTCTAACAGGTAGCGAGAACATTAATTAACCATTTTTTCTTACGAGGCTGTATTGGCCACCGCCACCGCTGAGAGCGCCGGTGGAGCGGAGATGTTGTTGCTGAGCATTTCATTTTCCGCGCTGGGGTTTTTAGGGGTTGTGGGTGGTCACCAAACCTGAGGAGAGGGCCAGTGCCCCCGCTGTGGGCAGCACTCACAGAATCCCAGCATGGCAGGGGTTGGCAGGGACCTCTGTGGGTCACCCAGCCCAACCCCCTGCCCAAGCAGGGTCACCCAGAGCAGGCTGCACAGCACCGCGTCCAGGCGGGGCTGGAATATCTCCAGAGAAGGAGACTCCAGAGCCTCCCTGGGCAGCCTGGGCCAGGGCTCCATCACCCTCAGAGGGAAGAAGTTCTTCCTCGGGTTCAGCTGGAACTTCCTCTGCTTCAGTTTGTGCCCGTTGCCCCTT